GGGTCTGTGCGGGGTGCTCGCGGGGTCGGTGGAGGGGTCTGTGCGGGGTGCTCGCGGGGTCGGTGGAGGGGTCTGTGCGGGGTGCTCGCGGGGTCTGTGGAGGGGCCTATGTGGGGTGCTCACATAGGACTCAGGATTTGGTGCCTCATCAGTCCCTTACTCAGCTGTACTCTGGTCCTCCAGGGCTGCGGGGCTGCCTTCTCCAGCCTCATGGGCTATCAGTACCACCAGCGGCGCTGTGGTAAGCCACCCTGCGAGGTGGACAGCCCCTCCTTCCCTTGCGCCCACTGCAGCAAGACATACCGCTCCAAGGCTGGCCACGACTACCATGTGCGCTCAGAACACACAGCCCCGGTGAGTGCGGTGGACCCAGTGTCTTTATGGCTTTGTGTAGTCTGTGCTGTGTACAGGCTCCTTCCTGGGTGCTGTGCATCTGTTTACGTGTCCACGTGTGGCCTGATACGTGTGATCCCTTCCTTTAAAAGTTACCCAAGCAGCCAGGTGCTGATTGCTCCTGCCTATAATCTTAGCTACTCAATAGGATGAGATCTGAGAATCACAGTTCAAAGCCAGACAAGAAAGTCTATGAGACTCTTATCTCCAAATAACCACCAGAAAACTGGAAGCGGAGCTGTGGCTCAAGTGGTAGATTACTAGACCTGAGAACAAAAGCTCAGAGACAGCACCTAGGCTCAGAGTTCAAGCCCCACAATCACCATCACTACCAATAAATTATCCTAGGTCTTGTGTTCTGGTAAGAGGGAGTGTGGAGCCAGGTGCCGTGGCTCACGCCTGTCATCCTAGCAACTCAGTAGACTGAGATCTGAGGATTGCGGTTCAAAACCAGTCTGGGCAGAAAAGTCTGTGAGACTCTTATCCCCAGTTAACTACCAGAAAACCAAGAAGGGGCGCTGTGGCTCAAGTGGTAGAGCGCTAGCCTTGAGCTGAAGAACTGAGGGACAGAGCCCAGGCCCAGAGTTCAAGACCCAGGACCCACACACACACACACAAAATCCCTGTGTAACTCTTACCTCCAATTAAGCACTCAAAAACCAGAAGTGGTGTTGTGGCTCAAGTGGTAGAGCACTATCCTTGAACTGAAGAGGCTCAGGGACAGCACCCAGGTCCTGAGTTCAAGCCCCCCAACCGACCAAAAATAAAAAGAAGGAGCATGGGAGTCTGGGGCTTCATCTTCGCTGGCACTACTTATGTGGTCTACATCCTTCCCATACCTGCATGCACCCTGCATCCTCCCTGGGCTTACAATGGCCACGCACGGTCTGCACCTCATGCTCTCTGTAGCTATCCTGTGTTTCACTGTGGTCTCTGTGTGTCTCTCTTTGCTCTCCAGCCCTCTGAGGAGCCCACAGATAAGACCCCTGAGGCTGAAGACCTGGGTGTGGAGCGGACCCCAAGTGGCCGTATTCGCCGCACTTCGGCCCAGGTTGCTGTGTTCCACTTGCAGGAGATTGCTGAGGATGAATTGGCTCATGACTGGACCAAGAGGCGCATGAAGGATGACCTTGTGCCCGAGACTGCACGGGTGAGCAGCCCACCGAGTGTTGGACAGCACTGGGAGCCACGGTCACTCCCAGGTTCTTCCCTCAAAGCCGCTGGCCTCCTGTCTGTGGCCAGGCCTTGCCTCATTTCAGAGGCCTCCATGACGGCTGTGCCCGTGGGGCCTTGATCATCTGCCTGTCCTGTTATCGAGGGGCCTTAAGTCTGCTGCAGAAACACATGTCAGAGCAGTGACACCTTAGCCTAGGCCTCAACAGGTGCTCTGCCTGGCTTTGCAGCTCAACTACACCCGGCCAGGCCTGCCCACACTCAATCCCCAGCTGCTGGAGGCGTGGAAGAGCGAAGTCAAAGAGAAGGGCCACGTGAACTGCCCCAATGACGTGAGCTGGGGCTGCGGATGGTGTGGGAGGTGGGCTCCGGCACAGAGGGCCCAGGCATAGCCTTCAGGCAGCAACTGAGGCTGAGGCAGGCCTGTGAGGAGGTACCCACCCTCAGAGTGAGGCCCTGCTTCTGACCTGGGCTCCTGCAGTGCCTTAGGTGATGACCCACTGACAGAAGGGGCCTCAACCTTGAGCCCCACATACCTGGCCTATCCACACCCTCAGATGCCTAGGGTTAGTGCCCCTACACTGTCTCAACGAGGTCTGGAACTCCCTGGGGCTGAGGTGTGGGGTGCCCTGACAGGGCCACCCCATGGCTTTCTCCCACCTGCAGTGTTGTGAAGCCATCTACTCCAGTGTGTCTGGACTCAAGGCCCATCTTGCCAGCTGCAGCAAGGTCAGTGCTGGGGCCTCCCCGCACTTACAACCCTCTCCTACCAGGGGTCCGTGCTTATCAGTGTGAATCCTATCTTGGCCACGAATCTGTCAGTCACAGGTCTTGCACTGGTGCTCACTCTGACCTGGACACGGGGCATGCTAGTTTGCTATGAGGACCTGTCGCTGGGGCACCTGCTTCTTCTCACTCCTTCACCTCACCTTTTGCATCCCCTGGGGCAGGGATGGCTCAGTGGGCCTCCTGAGGGGTGGTCTTAGGGGTCCTTGGAGCCTACCCATTATATAAACATCTTGGCATGGAGACAGTGCGCTTCTCTGGCTGCATCTGCCCCTATCCATTAGCAGCTGAGCCAGGGCTGGGCCAGATGCAGTGATTTGGTCCTCATGGGTTGAGGACTATGTTGCTTTGTGTTGCAGGGGGACCACCTGGTGGGGAAATACCACTGTCTGCTGTGCCCCAAGGAGTTCAGCTCTGAGAGTGGCGTCAAGTACCACATCCTCAAGACCCACGCAGAGGTGTGAGAGCAATGCTCTGGGCTTGTGCCTGGGGTTGCGTGGTGCAGAGTGGGTGTCTCAGACGGTGTACATGTGGTTTCTTCTCAAAGTGGTGCCTAGTTGTCCTGTGGCGGCGCCCTGAGCAGGAGCCTCTTTGGATGGAAGCCCTGCCCCTAGCTCCTTGGGGTTGCCTGCCTGAAGGTGGCTATGTCTAGCTTTGGGGCAGGTCTCTGGTTTTTACTGCTGCTTTTCTTTCCCCAGAACTGGTTTCGGACCTCAGCTGACCCACCTACCAGACACAGGGGCCAGGACTCCTTGATGACCAGGAGAGAGAAGAAAAAAAGTCTAGCAAGTGGGAAGAAGCGGGGCCGCAAGCCCAAGGAGTGGTCCCCAGAGGAGTCTGAGTCCAAGCTGCCTCTCCATCGGGATGACTGGTCTCCAGGAGCCAGGGACAAGGGGGCCCGGGGCTGTATTGGGCGGAAGGTTGGAGCTGGAAAGTCCCCAGAAAAGTGAGCCTCTGTGGGGGCCCAGCCACCAGGCTGGCCATCAAGCCCCACTCTCTTGAGAATAGGGGGCCAGTTTTGATCTCCGGTCTCCACTCCCCTACCCTTGCCCATCTGTTCAGTAGGAGGCGCCAGCTTCTCCTCCCCTCCCTGAAATAGCCATTCCTGTTCAGGCTGGCTTGGCACATCCGGACTGGGCGCCCCAGGGTGTCTGCGGCAGCAGCAGAAGTGCAATAGTCCGGGGTACCAGCTCTTCCCACAGGCTGCACAAGGTCCTGGCAGGGCTTGGGCCTTGGCACCGTGAGTGCGGTAGTGCAGTGCGTTCAGAAGGTCTTGGGTCCCTGCTGTGCCCCTTGGGCCCAGTGAGGTCTCCACTCGGGCCCCCCAAGGCTCAGGTCTGAGCCTGACCCAGTGGTTCTGGCTGATGCGGGCACCTGAGCAGCTGTCACCATCCGGGCCTCCCTCACCTTCACCCAACACTGGAACTCCGGTATCCCCAGCTACCTCCCAGGACAGACCCCGTCCAACCACTGCCATACTGACCTGACAGCCACCTGCCCTCTCCCAGCCACCCTCTCAGACCCTTTCCTTTTGTTTCTACCTCTCTGGGCCTGCCCCTCTGTCATCCCTACTGTGCTTCAAGCCACACCCTCCTCGCCTGTGTGCTCACGGTGCAAGCAGCCCCACTGCTTGTTCTGCCTGCGGAGAGAGAGCTGGGCACCCAGCTGCCTGCCTGCTACCTGCCTGAGAGCCTGGTGTTTTCTGCCTCTAGTCTTCTGTTCCTGAAGCTGTAAACCTGAGATGGGCAGCCTGAAGCAAAAGGGCGGGGCGAGGGCTGGGCAGAAGGGACCCATAATGTGTGGCTTCCGTGGGAGCAGCCTGGGCTTACCATGCCCGCCGGCCAGAGGCCTGGCTTGGGGAAAGCCCTCCCTCTCCTCTATCAGCTTGCATGTCTGCTGGCTTGGTCATCTGAAATGAGGAACCAAAGGCCAGTGATGGGTGAGGTCTCAGCCAAGGTGCAGCCCTTTGGGGTTTAGGAGGGCCAGGTCTGCCAGATGGGCAGGGGCTGGTCTCCTGGGTTGGTAGCCCTGCATGCAGCCTCAGCGGGTGGCCTCTTTCTTGGCCTAAGTTCCAGTCCATTTGCAGAGAGGAGGCTGGGAAGGGCTGGGTGAGGTGTTTTTCAGTGGGGGGAGGGCTGAGGGATCAGGCTCTGATCCTGGATGATGTGAATTTTGATATTGCCTGTGTGCGTGTCTTGGGTGTTGTGGATGCCAGTCTTGTTGCTGTGACAAGTAACAACTTTTTTAAAATTCTGTTTTTTATAAAAAAAAATACATTTTGACATTTTGGTGCTAAGGGTGTCCTGGTGCCAGAGATGGGGCTGGGCTGGGGCTCTGGCCAAGGCCTCTCTGCTGCCCAGTGGGCAGTATTGACCCCAGCATCCCTTTTGCCTCTGAGGAGGAGGCCTCCAGGAGACTTGGGGGTGAGGCTGCTCTACTCTTACTATCTGGGAGGGATCTACCTCTAGGTAGCCCTGGCCAGATGGGCTGGTGTAAAGTGGGCTCCCTTACTCCCATACTCCTTGACCTGATTGAAAGATGGCTGCACTGGTAGAAATGGGTCTGATTGCTGGGCACCGGTAGCTCATGCCTGTAATCCTAGCTACTCAGGAGGCTGAGATCTGAGGATGGTTGTTCAAAGCCAGCCCAGGCAGGAAAGTGAGTGAGGCTATCTCCAGTTAACCACCAGAAAACTGGAAGTGGCTCTGAGGCTTGAAGTGGTAGAATACTTGCCTTGAGCAAAATAGCTCAGGGACCGCGCCCAGAATTCAAGCCCCACGACCTACAAAAAAGAAAAAGAAAAAAAGTGGGTATGGGTATGATCTAGCGCCAAAGGGTAAGTTGAGGCTTTTGAGCAGTAGTATGCAGCTAGGTAGGGGAAAGGAGGACCAGGTAGGTGTACTTTGCCCTTGTTATTATGACAGAGAAAGTTGTACCCCAACGCCTCTGTATAGCATGGCCGCCCACCCAGCCTGTCCAGGTACTTGGCACTTGGAAGGCAGTCCTTGAAGCCTACAGGAAATCCTGGTGTGGGAAATGGAGATCCTGGGTGACTTGATATTTAGCACTTTAACTCCCTTCTTTGTCTTTGAGGTCAGCGAGGATGGGAGCTGCTGTCAGAAGTGGCTGTTGGTCGGCCCCCCCCTTTCCACACTGGCCGGCCAGCCGGTCTGCGGGCCTCCCCGCGGGCGGGCTCCGCGTGCCTACCTCCCAGCTCTGGCCCCGGTGCCCAGCGCCCACGGCGGCCCCAGGGTCCGGCGCGGCCCCTCAGCGCACGGTGCAGCCGGGGTTGCCTGCAGACCTACCTCGGGCGGGCCGCCCTCCCGCCCCGGCACTTTAGTTGGGCAGGGCTCCGGGGGAGGCTCCGGGTCTCAGTACACAAGTGCATTTTGGAAGACAGGTTCCAGCTATCCCGTGTAACCCTATGTATACACGCGCACACGGCACACACGCACGCACGCACGCGCGCGCGCATGCGCCGCGCACAGACACAGATACGCTATCTACAAAGTGTTTATTTGCCAGGTGGTGACTGAGGTGAGCCGGCCCTGCCCGCGGCGGGGGGCCCT